CCTGAAGACGTGATGAAAACTTTCAAAAATAGTCTTGACTTGCTGGGATTAGAATATCTTGACCTCTATCTTATCCACTGGCCCATGGCATACAAGGTACTAATTACAATTATTGTTTAATTGTTAAGTTAACTAATCATAATACTGCCACATAAATTTGAATAAAAGTCTATAATTTCATAATATTCCACTTTTTTTAGAGAGGAGATAATTTATTTCCCAAAGATGACTCTGGCAAGTTTCTCTATGCAGAGGAAATTAGCTTCACTGATACATGGAAGGTATGTATTCTGCTGTAGCTTAGAGAAGCACATTTCTTTCAGAATCTTAATTAGCCTACAATAAGGAACTTTCGATTGCACGACACAGTAGAATCTAGAACATAATGATGTCACTAATATTTCATATGCCAGAGCGTTAAGTTCTCCTCATCGTGTCAAGTCAAGCCAAACCAGTCATTCGTCGCAAATCCTGTTTCAGAGATAATGGCCAAAACATGCTGTGGAATGTACAAATTTTTGAAGTCTATTTTACTGAACTAAACTAACCCTTATATATATGTACATCATGCTATGCTGTTATTTTCCCCATTTTAAATGTTAAAACAACAATTTTTAATGATTTAGTGATGGTTTCTGCCTGAGAAATGCCCAAAATCATAAACTTTGAAGACTGATTTCTCAAATATTGTTCTTTAAACAGCTGCATGTTTAAACTCTTGTAAACTTCAACTAAATGTTGGATTTAAATGATTCTTTGACCATTTTATAACTTTCACTTTACTGTTTAACTCTGTACTAATAACTAAAAATCAGTTTTTGTGACGAGTGACTGGTTTGGCTTGTCTTTGCCACAAATTAAATTAAATTAACTTAAATTAAGAATTGTAAAGCTCCTAGAGGGATCTGCGATCTGTTAGGCGCTATATAAATATGGTATTATTATTATTATCATTATTATTATTATATTGATTTAGAATAATTGTTGATCTTTTTCATCAAGGATGAGGTAGCAATGTATTGACTGGTAAAGAAGATTGATTAAATCTCTAAGAAGGTCATTATTACTATAAGACAGATTTTTAAGCACATTTATTGTTAACATTCCTTAGGCTATGGAAGAGCTGGTGGCTAAAAAACTGTGCAAATCCATCGGAGTGTCGAACTTCAACGAGCAGCAGATTGACAAAATACTTGCTCTTCCACCCAAAGCCCCAGTAGCAGTAAACCAGGTAATCAGGTCATGGTTTATTTGTAGGCGGTAGCATATCTGAGGGTGGGTGTGTGTGGGGGGTGGCCCTAAACTTAACCCTAACCCCCCCCCCCCTAGACTCTGTCAGACTCTGAACCATCAGTTCAGGGGTTCATGAGACTCGAACCCGTTGAAAACTCAAACCGCTTCCATCACAACAGATGTATGTATCAATGTATGCCTATGTGTCTGTCATATGTTGTAGTTAAGTCGGGTGACGTTGCACTGTAGCTGCTGCCAAGGGTCCACATGTTCCCAGACCAATTTTTCGATTTCCAATATGAATATGTACCAATAAAGAATTATTACTATTACTATTATTATGATTAAGAAATATAATGTGTTTTGTACCACCTCTCATTTGTTGTGCTTGCTTTTAGATTGAGCTGCATCCATATTTGACTCAACAAGCAATGGTTGATTATTGTAATAGCAAGGGTATTGTGGTAAC